AAAAAGGAAATTGGGGTTGGCTGTGGCCGTGAGGCGGCAGCCCTACCCAAAAACCAATTATCCAACCGCGAGAGATCTGGACAGGGCGGAGTTCCACTCCCACCCGATGCTCACGGTGGCCCTAGAAAGCATGGCCGTCATCTCGGGATCAGACACGGCGACGCTGACGCTCCCTAGGGAGGCAATGCAGCCGCATCCTCACTTCCCGAGGAATCAAGCCCGCCTTGTGATGCTGCGATCGACATCAGATCATCCTCTGGAGCGCCGAACGAAGCAGACGCATCTGTGAAGAGGCAGACGCCTGCCGCGATCCGGCACTCGCTGGATCTGACACTGGAGCGGTGGGTGTGGCCCGAGGAGCTAGCGTCGGGGGTCTGTTCCACACAGTCACCATCAAATCACCCTATCCGCGAGTCGAAGAGCTTCTATTAAGAAGGAGCAGATCGAGTAGCGGACACGGGCACTCTCACTTTTATCAGATCATTGAGTCTAGATCACAGTGTAGAGATGATCATGTTCCCCTTATTCAGAAGGAACATGAGTCATCCACGAACGCTGCTACTGCATGCAGAATGCCCAGACACACAGAGCAGCGATCGTGACCATCAGAAGATGACATGAATCGACCACACCCAGAAGAACACGGGCGAACCATCTTTAAAAAGACGTGCCGCGTGCAGCTCTTTCAATAGAGAGGAGGAAATTCACTCTTTCAGCGCTGAGGCGTCCAGGGAGAAACGCACAGTCTGGCAGACCACTGCTCAGATCGCAGGCAATGCAGAATCTCGCTGGGTACCTCCATCACACCAACACTGAAGAGGATGCTCGTCTCGAAGAGTTGTACTCAGTGAAACTGGCTTTGTGAGTGAAGAAGTCTCTTGGCTCCGAAGCGAAAACATACTGCGTTTGCGTTCACTTCCTCCTTTTATACCCACGGGGTGGGGCGGAGTTACGCTATGCAAATTCCGCAGCCCCAAGGCATTTTTATGCCATTGGCTCGTTATTAAATACTCGAAGAGGATTGGCTTTCTATGCGAAACCCCCATTCTCCGTCACTCCTGACGTAACTCGGAGTGACTACGAAAGGGAACTCTTAGCTCTTATAATTAAATGTGATTAAATATCTAATTATAAATACTATATTCTGACATTCTGTTTATTGTCACTACATGAAACAAATAAACAACAATATGATGTGTAACATTGGATTTGTAATACTAGTGCCAAGAGATCAATTTCATATTTTTTGAATTATGAAAAAAAAATCATTCAAATTATTTAACATTAAAATTAAGGGTCCCACTTTATATTAAGTGGCTTTAAGTATTATATACTTGCATTGAAAGTAATAATTTGATACAATGGACTTATTGTGTTCATACATGTTTTTACATTGTACTTATATTTGAAAAATACAAGCATGTAATTATAGCTATAATTAATTTATGTGATTACATTTGTAATTACAGTTGACTCTTCCCGCACACCTTAACCTACCCTTAAACCGACCCATACCACCACACCTGTCCCTAACCTTACCCTGTCACAGTCTTCGTCTGCACCAGTCTGTCTTTGTCATCTGCACTTCACTTCCCAGGATCCTCTTGTTTCCACACCTGAACTCACTTCCTCAATCGGCCACCTGTTCATCGTCTTGTTCATCTGTATCACCTGTTTGCACCTTGTTATGTTTGATTCTTGCTTATATTTAGTTTGCTTCAGTTCAGTATGTCCTCGTCGGTCGATGTCACATTGTGTGTCCCTTCTGCCTGCACCTGTTTTTGTTATTGAGTAAATCTTTGCATTGGAGCTCTTCGCCTCAGTCTGTTTCTGCCTGCACCACAACCGTGACGTATACCCGTATCACACCTCAATAGCAGCAAAAGTGTTTCACAATACAACAGGAACACAATGATACATTGTACTTATTTTTCGATGTAAGTAAAGCCACTTAGTATAAAAGCCACTTAAAGCCACTTAATATAAAGTGGGACCAAATGAAGTTACTCTATCTGTAGTTACAGCCAACGTTATCAAGAATGTGACATGTACATGGACCTGTAAAAGAAAATCTGAGTAACGAAAAAAAAAAAACAGCAAATCTACCCAGATTAAAATCACAACTGAGAGCATGCATTTAAATTTATGATTGTTGTTAAATGTGGATATTAAATACCTGCATTAACTGCAGTATAGGTTTACTCTTTTACTTAAGAATATTTTCAGTGCAAACTTCTTACGCACATTACTGTAGATGATTGACAAATCATCTGTTTTAAAATGGTAATTAATATCCGTTGCTTTAGTGTGCCAATAAAAACATCAAATCTAGCTAATACCTAATCTCCATCTGTTCATGTTGATATGTGAATCAAATGATAGTTTGGTGAACCTAACATAGAGCTCGAAAAGCAGAAGTGTAATGCAGAAGCTCACGGGAATCTCACGTGAACAGACAGGGCCAGCAGTGGCCACAATATGGTCTCATCCCCTGAAGGCCCTACATGACCTGTGTCTGTGCAAAGAGAATAATAAGCCTTTGTGCATAGTGCCTCGTAAAATCCTGCATCCCTACAGAGTGAGAGAGAACCAGGCACCTGTAAACAGAGTGTGTGAAAACAGCTTTAGACATTTTCACTTGAAGCAACTGCTTAGTGGGGGGTAATTGAAAATGGTTAATTACAATGCAAAATAGCAAAAATAGAAATGCAGATGCAAGAACTAGAGAAACAAAACATATTTTCATTACAAGATCAGATTTTTCCTTCGAGTTGGTTCTGTCTGCGTAATGTTGGTTTGTTCTGCTCTAACTCTCTGTGCCCTCCTGAACTACCACTTTAGGTCTCTGTCCCTCCTGCTGGGTCTGTATTATTTAGGAAATTAAGGTCTTTCACTAACGAGTCTTGTAAGATAAGTGCGGAAGTGACTTCTTTTTAGAGGAGGTCCCTAAAGTAATTTGTGTATTTGCACAGAAGTTGAATTCAAGAATTCAAGATAGCAGTGCATGCTGTTTATCAAGCCAATGTCAAATGTCAGCTCTCGTGTTTTTATTTAAAACAACACAAGGGGTTGCCTTAAGCCCTCCAACTCTAAAACGAATGTAGTTTAAGCCCTCTTTAATGCCTGTAATCAAGCAGATGTGTGAGGTCACTCGTGCTAAAAGTGTGTCCATTATGTCATTGTCCCCAGCAGCAGTGTGGGATCGTCCCCTTTTTCACGCACAAGGTGAGAGGTTTCCCCCCAAGAGGTGAGGAGTGACGTGAAAGGATGATTTGTCACCTCTGACACCTCTTCACTAGACATATATTTTCTGTAAAGGGTACCAGAAGGGATGCTTCGATTTGTTTGGTCAACATGGTAGCTATGTTATTTTTAACTACATTTCATTTTCTAATAGAGAGCATTCACAATGGGCTTTGATTGCCATAGAGCTTTCTGTATAAACACCAGAATGCCGTACAATTCAATCATTTGTGGTTGTGGTGTAAATGCATAGTAATGACATTATTGTGTGATTGTGATACCACAACCAACAAACAATGAAACAATGAAAAAGCACCTTATGGTGTCAGTTTGTATTTAAGGGACTGTGCGAGATGTGTGTTAATGAATGCACAGAATACTGGAATGCTCTGGGAATGCAAACAAACAAAATAAAACAGTTACCAGAAACTGAGCTGGCTTTTCAGAAGCAAGAATTGTGTTTTGTTGTTTTTAATCCAAATTTTATAATTTCTTGATGGTTCCAGCACACTAACATAACAATTTGTATAGATTTCTGTACAATTTGTGCCTGGTGAATTTGTACAATCTTAATTATACATTTTAAATGATCTACTAAAAAAAGTTTTATCTAGAAATCACTTTTTTGCGAGTTAGATCTTACAAATTGTCATACGATACTAAAATGTGTAAAATATGTGGCACAATTACATCATCTACAAATCTGTTATTCAGTTATTACAATGTTATAATCCATAATAAATTGACAAATAATTAAGAATATTAATGTTACAAACATTGGGATTACATTTTTTCTTAAAACATGACCAAATGACTTGGATTCTTTGATAAGTGATAAGTGTTTGACCAGGGAATGAAGCCTGTTCTCTTATTGCACAATTACTGAACCTGATATGTGCAATGGCCATTTCTGGTGAGTACTGCTCATGCAAACCTTCCCCCACTTCCCTTCCTCCATGCGGTGTAACAACAAATCTCCTTTTCTGCTCCCTGCCTGAAACTATTGAGTCAACAAACGTCACTCCAGCTAGGCTGTGTCTCACAGGAAAGAGGTGGACTCTCCCTTTCAAAACTGGAGAGGAGCCAAAGCTTTTTTTTTTTCAGACAAGAACCACCTATTAAAATACAGACAAGACAAAAAAAAGGGATGTTTAAAAGTTTTAAAAAGAGCGTGGAGGAGGATAAGGGCTAGTGCAAGCTTTCACATGTACATGACTACACACAGGGCCATAGTGTTAACTGTGAACTTTCTGTCAGTACAGAAAACATTTAATATTTTATCTCGCCAAAGTCTCACTTTCTTGTTTCACAGTGGTGAATTCAACAGCATAAACTCAGTGTCATGCTTTCTGCTTGTCAGACAAGAATTTGATCACTTTTTGAAGTCTAAGTGTGTAGCTCCCTAACCACTGTGTACCAAAATAAGACCAAGCATGTGTGTAAATAAGGGCAAGGCTTCGTAGAAGCTGAGGCAGTGCTTTGCCATCTCAGAGAGAAAGAAAGACAGACAGTCAGAGAGATTTGAGTAATTAGGCAGAATAGTGCAAGAAATTTTGGCCTTATAATAAATTCTTTCTCTTTTCATGTTTCCATTTTGGTATACTTTCCATCAGTGCAACAGATTGTGAGTGGAGGTGTTTTCCTTCCGTGTGTGCACTGGAGTGGGCGGACGGTGCAATCCAGTCCAGTGCTTCAGGGCAGCCAGTAAAGTGTGCACTATTGTGTGCGGCTGAAAAAAAAAAAAAGAAAGAGAGCAAAAAAAGGAGGGGGAAGAAAAGAAACTCAGTCCCTTTGTGTGTAGAGGACCCAGCAGGAAAGCGATTTTGCAATTACTTCAGCTTGCCGGCAAAGCAAGCTTGGTTCCTCTGACCCTCTCATCTGCACACACTTGTACACTGGACTGTCTCACTCTGCTCACTGTCTATACAAGCACATACAAGAGTGAGCGTTTGTTTATGGGTTGCATCTGGAAGCGCTTCGAGAGCCAACAACAACGCAGGGTTTCTGCCCCCGATGATGAAAGCAAACGTCAGACTAACCCATGAATATTGATGCGGAGGTAGTCTGTTTCATAGACGGAACAGAAGGAAGCAAGATGGCTGCCCTTTAGGATTTGTTTAAGAGGAGACCTAGACGGTTTGTTGGAATTCTACAAAGTGGAGGGACTTAAAAAGAGGTAAGAGAGTTTTTCTGTTCTTGCCCCTTTTCCTTTGTCCCCCAGGGTCTCTTTAAGGGCATCAAGCTCTTTTTTTGTATTGTACTGTCCTCTTTAACACCCGTGAGCTGACATAATAATGAAAGCATATTAGATAAAGCTTCACCAACATGGCTGACGTTTCTGTCTCTCTTTCTCCCTCCCTCTCTCTCTCTCTCTGTCTCTCTTTTTTTCCCTTTTATTGGCTTGTGCAGTCAGAAAGTATTTTTAAGCATTTCAATCTCATTTGTTTTCTCAGTTGTATTTTTTCTTTTAAAATATAAGATGTTGTGTAGAGGACAGATTTAGGAATGTGCCTGGTTTAAAAAATGTTGATCTTTGTGAGACTGTTGGCCAATTCTTCTTTAGGCATTATTTCCCAATGGATCTCCTATGCTGTGAGCAAGACTAAATAGTAACAAAATTATCTTATCTCTTCAGTGTCCACCAGCCTTATTGGACGGCTGAATGTAGATACAAGAAAGTGGTGTTTTATGAGGTGAAAAGAATTTCTTTAATATTTATTCCAAAAAAACTTTCTCCATGAAAAGGTTTTTTTTTTATTTCTGACAAAATTCTTCTTGCTACATTTCCTTAATTTGTTGTGTCCTTTGATTAAATGTGGGAGTTTGGCCGGGGATAGTGGAACTACTTGCTTTCATTGCATTGATCAGTGAGTGACATGCAGACACAAAGACTACCACAGTTCTGAGGTCCAAAAAAAAAGTGGTGGAAGCCCACAGGGTCAGAGGCTTTAAAAGAACTGAAACCCAACCCCATAGCACCATTAGCTGAGGGCCACCGGAGACCGGACTTTTTTGAGTTGTCTGACATTAATAGGATTTCCATTGTTTATTTGTATAAAAGATCTAAATTATTTCTTTAAATGTTAAGCTCACACATGAATATTCTCAATTCGAGCAATTTTTTTTTATTACATTAGAGAGGTGGTGCAAATGCTTTAGAGAACAGTTTATTGTCCATACTGAATTTGATTTAAATTCCTTTAGGATATTATGCAGAGCAGAGGTGGGCTATAGTTGCCTGTAACATATCAGCATATGTTTGATGTTAAGCTTTAGATTATTGAAATTCTATACTGAGCAAAGAACAAAAAAAAAAAAAAACAAAGGAAAAAAAGTCAAATGCTTGAATAACTTTGACCATTGTATTAATAAAGTCAACACTCAGCTGTCAAGTCTGAATGTTTCAGATATGTTCAATTCATAGTTGCTTTTGATAATCAAAAGTATTAATTTGAATGAACTGTTACAAAAGGCTACAGCATCTGTACTAATGAATTGCAAATACCTTTGTGTAACTGATTTTAACAGCCCTATTAGGATTTGCATCATAATTGGCTGATGGAATAATACAGATAAAAGTCCTGCCCCCTTATTTTGTGTATTTAGCTTGTGTATTCCAACACTCTGCTTAGATGAGAAGTGTGGAAGTTAGTCCATGCCTGCAAGGGGATGCTTTATGGAGTGTTGTCAATAAACATTATAGAGAGGTGGTGCAAATGCTAATGTAACTACAATGAAGGAATTTGGAGAGAAACGAGAGCCATAATGACTTCATGTTACTCTTTTAGCTTCAACTCCAACTTTAAGCTTAGAATTGATAATCCCTTAGTGATATAGCTGAATCACTCAATTCAGCTATATCACCATAATTCTACTTTAATACAATTGTAACTGGTACATCTCCATGGCATGACATTATAATTAGTGGTGAGAATACACAACACTGACAACATTAGCTGGAACTTGAATTATTTATATTTGGTTGAATTCATGAGTAAAAAACAAACATTTGTGTTCTAGAGAATGGCTAATGTGGCTGGCATTGTCTTTTTATTGCATATTCAATTTTATAAATACTGGCAAAAAAAAAGAATACATGATCTGTTTTCAAATCAGTGCTTATGGTGACAGATTGTACATTGATATTACTTATAGTATATTGTATTATTGTTGTTGTCCTTGTTGGTGTTGGTAATTGTTGGATTGACAATTTTACATGAAAAAGACCAATGAAGAGAACAATAAGCATTCAGGCAGAAATCAAGGTTTATATCGACACTTATCAGCTTATTCATTTTTTTTTTTATTTGCTCTGGCTTGGTGTTTATAGTCATATTTTCCATATGGTTTCCTCTCAAAAGAGACTTTATTGTCTCTACTTGGATTGGATTTTTATACTAGTCATTTACAGTATTTTTATTATATAAAAATGTATTATATAATGTATATCAATATATATAATGTATTATATAATGTATATTTTGGACCCTTGGTCCAAAACATTTTCCAGCCTGAATAGTAAGTAGCTTATGCACTGTATTTAGTAATACTTTAGCAATTTCTGGCATTTATATGACACCATAATACACCTTTTTCCTCATCCTTCAGTGCACGTCATTGGATGTTTGATGTGAGACAGCAAACTGAGGAAACTTTCAGGGTATTATAATATGTATTGTTGTAAAGGTTTAATCTTGGACTGAATTTTCAAGGGCATGAATTGAAGAGCACACTCCACGTGCGTAAGCGCACATGGTTTCTCTGTTTACAAACACTATAACTTACAACCCAGTCAGAGGGCTAGCTAGAGAAGTGTACTTACGCCAGCCAAGGAGGTCACTGGAAAGCAGATCATTGACTACGCCAATTTAGACCCTTTCCAGAACATCTGTATTCAAATGGGTTTAGCTAAATGAAACTCATGGCACATGGTTTGCATTTTATTCTGCCATCTTCATTGCTTAGGAGTTGGCTGAACATCTTTGTAAAGCCCAGTGAATCGCTAAAAAAGATTTTTTCATTTCATCATCTTTTAAAATAAAGTCATACAGATTGGTGTCGTACTTCTTGAAAAAGCCAAATGTTAACTTCCTCTGAGGTGAATGAAGAGATGATGCATTTATAAATGTGGTTTTCAAAAGGTTTTCTCTCCAGTTCCAGCTGTGCAGATTCAAAGAAAATCAGATTGGTTTCAGAAAACAGTGGTTCATAACAGAAACACTTGGTTTTCCCCCTTGAAAATCAATGATTAAGAAAAAATGTATGTCAGGATGATATAAGAATCATATACCACATGCTAATTTCGAAAAACGGTGGTGTCAGTTCAAGGCTGTGGGGGGATTTTGCCTAAGAATTGCTCAGAAATAAGTCTACCAAGAAGAGGTTTGTTGCATGTGTCTGTGAAATGTTGTGTGTGTCTGTGTGTGTGCGCACAGCCCAGTGCAACTAGGCCACAGAGTCAAAAATCTAAAAGCACCCTTATTATAAAATACTTCAGAAGAGTGTTTTCAATACTTATTGATACAGCGAATTCATTGACATACAGTCATTGTTTGGCACGCCCTTGACAGGTCACCTTGTTGACAGCAGAGCCAGCTGAATCTCAAAGTCATTCAAGGCATTATAGTCATTCAAGACATTTGCATGACATTACCCCATTTATAGAGGTTAATGACAACCAGGGGTTGATCTTGAAAGAATAAAACTTGTAGAATAAAATTTCGAACAGACAGAGGGTGTAGCCAGTGTAGCTAAATACTTTTCAAATGGTGTGTCCTGTGTGTTTCTGTAAGAGACGATGTCTGTGCTTTTCATTTCCATTAGTAGAAAATAATAGTGGCCTCTGAAGTCAGACTGTTTTTTTGAATAATAAATGGGAAGATATTCCAAGCTAACATCAAATGTAGAGCACATGCTTTGTCAGTGTCGTGTGGAATATGTTTGCTGGAAAATTGCATAATAATAATAACTTTCTTTATTTATGTATTTATTTAGAGCTTTGTGTACAACATGTTGTTGCACATTTACAGGCTTAAGTTTCTAAGTAAGACGAGGAAGGATCATGCTAATCATAATGGATGTTTTTTTTTTTAATGCTGACAAATACATAACACTTACATAGAATATAAGATGGTAAATATTTAATTGATGAGTTGTCAATACAATATATAACCTAGTCCTAGGGTATGATTTTACCCCAAAATTCAACATATCCGACACATAACAGTAATTGAGAAAGCATCTGATTATAGCGATGTGGATATGTTTGCACAAGCTCTACATTTTGGTTACATCACATTTATTTATATAGCACTTTATTCAACACTTTAAACAATTGTTTAAAGGCAAGCAGCTTTACAGTACAAAACCTGAAAAAAAATATTATCATATTATATTGATCTGACAGGTGTAATCTCACCCCTCAAACAATCATACTCCTAATCGCCTCCCTATACACAGATTGACCGTATCACTCTCTGTCTCCAGAGTTGGTGTGTGGTGGACAATCTGGTGCACTCGGCTGACATGGATGCAGCACACTGGAGGTGGTTAAAGAGGTAATTGCCCATGTTATAGGCAATTATACACCCTTATAAACTCAATATAAGGATCACTGGTAAGAATACCATAGGGGTAAGAAGATCAACCCTAATAGAGTTAATTTTTAATATGCTCCATTCACCAGCTTCAGAATGCCTTAGCATCAAATAAAGGCAATGCAAACCATTAGCATGCTAGAATCCATCAAATATTATTAACAATTGGACAAGTTTTGGTTCTGTTAATGCTGGGAGTGTTAAATATAAACTAAATGAACCTGTAATCAAATGGAAGATATGTTGAGATATTTACAAATAGAATATGAATAGATGGAAATACTGCACATGTTACTGAGTACCTTTTTTGCTGACTATGGCTGCTGACTGCAGCATGACATACTGTAATTGTCAACTTGTCATAAACATGACATAGCAGATTAATTATCAAACTTAAGAAAGCACCTAGCTTTATTGGTTAACATTACATTAAACTGTCAGGTAGTTGGTTTTGACATTGGCTGTCATGAAGCAATTATAAATTTTTAATGACAAATTCAATTAGTACCACTGTAGTTGAGGTCACGAAAAATATTCATGACACAGTTAGAATGGCCTCATGACAGCCAATGTCAAAGCCAACCACTTGACAGTTTAACTTCATTTTATCTCAAGTTGTCATGACAAAGGCACTGACAGGTTATGATGTTATGGTTTATGTCAAGGTGTCATAACAAAGACGTCTTAATGTCATATTTGCATTCAAAATGTCATTAATGAGCGAAAGACACTTAAATGACAGTTGTCATAAACATGAATAAACCCTAGTTCATATTCAAGACATATATAATGTCATGGTAATGAAGGTGTCATGTCAGTCTTATGCACACCCCTTCAAGTAAAGTGTTACCGTAAATGAGTTATCTCAGTAAGTAATCATTCAAAGATTTCCTTCTTCACACCATTAAAATAACCAACACATTCTCACCCCAAGGCGTCACCTTTGACCATGCTTCAATATTTGACGCTTTAGGCGCCCTTTAGCGTCAGTTACATGATGCGATCCTACGGCGTCATCTAACTGACGCTAAAGGAAAAGCGTCAGTTAGATGACGTGGGTAGGTTTAGGTCTGGGGTGGGGTAGGGGTAGGGTTACACGCGATCCTAGGGTGTCATCTAACTGACGCTAAAGGGCGCCTAAAGCATCAGATATTGAAGCATGCTCAAAATGTTTCCAAAGGCGTCAGTTAGGTGACGCCTTGGGGGTGAGAATGGGCTGAAATAACAGGTGAAATGGTAATCTTCATCTCCAGTGAAGTATGCTACACTTTATTCATAAGGCTGCAGAAGTCTCTCTTCTGGATTTCCAGTTGATGAAGTCTGATGTCATTGACTCTGCCAAGATGCTCTTGGCACTACTCAAGAATGTGAGCACCAGAAAAGCATTGGGACCTCATTTTTTGCCAAAGTGACTTATATCTCGTACTACACTTCAGTTTAAAAAAGATGAAACCCAACTACAGCTAGCCCAAGACTTTTGTCAAGTCAAGTCACCTTTATTTGTATAACACTTTTTGAAATACAGATTGTTTCAAAGCAGCGGCTAGGCAGTTCTCATCTGGCCAACGAACGAACAGTGCATGATTATGATTCAGGTTGCTTTTCAGGTCAGAGGTCAGATTGGATCAGAACATTCAAAATATTTATCTAGTTCCATCTGGTTAAAGATCAGATTCATCACACCGGTATGGAGACTGGTTCGATGAAGATCTGTGCCACTGGCTATCTTGTCGATGAGGCCTTCACAGGGGAGAGTCTAGTTGACAATCTCTGCTGACACTTCAGGGATGCGTTATGATCATGTCTAGGCGCAGGTACTCTATCAAGTCCTTTACATGACATTGCCAAATTACTTGTATGGCATGAATGATATAGAGTTTAAAGTTGTTTCCACAGATCTGTGTGAATGGGAATCATTTTGATAAGGTTTTATCTATACAAAAGGAGAAAAATAACTTTTGTATTATCGAGGAGGCCTCACAGGGTACACTTCAGGGCTGTGGTCGTGTCTAGATTCACCATGTGCTCTAGATACCTCCCGGATCAAGCAGACAATGGTAAACTGTAGGAGAGACTAATATTAGCATATCCCATTCTTCTTATGATGTAAAAAAAAACATCAGGTGTCCCTTGATAGGACCATGGAGGCCGCACTGCCATGGTCCCCCTGCATTGCCGGCACCGCCCTGTCTTTCTGCAACTGCCGGCGACACCCTGGCTTCCTGCACTGCCCTAGCCTTCTGTTCCACCCTGGCTTCCGGCACTACCGGCGCCACCCACACCATGCCTAGGCCCAGGTCCTCCCATACCATGCAACGACCCAGGCCCACCCATGCCATACCATGTCCCATGTCCTATCCCCATGCAAGATCCTGGCCCACCTGCTTGACAATTTTTTCTTTTCTTTGGGTGTCTGGAGCCACCCTTAGAGGGGGGGATCTGTCACGTCTTGGATTGTTCATGTCATGTTCCATGTCGGTCATGTGATTCGCTGTTAGTCATGTGATCCTGTCATGTGTTTTGTTATTGGTTAATCGTCTGTTCATTGTTCATTAGTCTGTGCATTTAAGCCCTCATGTTTGCCATGTGTCTTGGGCAAGTTTTGTTTCCCTGTAATTGCTGGTTAAGCGTCATGTTTATGTTCATGTTTTTGTTTTGAGTTCATGCCACGCCATGTCTTTATTTCATGTTTAATCTTGTTTGTAATAAACTGCACTTGGGTTCTCATCTACACTTGCCTATAGTGAATCCTTTTACAGGAAATTGTTCCAGAGTTTAGGAGTTAAATAGGAAAAGAATCTATAGCTAGCAGTTCATTTTGATATTCTAAGTATTATCAACTGCCCAGAATTTTGAGATCGCTGTTAGATGTTAAAAGTCCCCTCTCAAGTACTGGGGATTTAAATCAGTTATTGTTTTGTAAGTAATTAGCAAGATTTTTGAAATGTATGTGACGTTTAATAGGGAGCCGATCCAGTATTGACAGAACCGTGCTGATATGGTCATACTTCCTGGTTCTAGTACGAACTCTAGTTGCTGCGTTTTGGACCAGTAGGAGTTTGTTTAGGGCAACCACCCAGTAGAGCATTACAATATGAACACAAGACTATTCCTAACTATTCCGCATTTGTCATTGAGGGCAAATGTTGTAATTTAGATATATTTTTAAGATGTAAGAATGTGGTTTTACAGATGCTAGAAATGTGGCTTTCAAATGAAAGATTGGTGAAGACCCATGTCCCTAACGTACGACAAAGACTTAAGAGAACATCCATAAAGTGTTAGACACTATTCTAGGTTGTTACATGCAGAGGTTTTTGTTCCAATAATTTGAATCTCTGTTTTGTCATAATTAAGAATTAGGAAATTACTAGTCATCCATTTTTTTTACATCAGCTATGCTTTGCTGTTATTTTGTGAATTGGTAAGCTTCGTTGGGGAAGGAAGAAATATAGAGCTGAGTATCGGCAGCGTAACAGTAAAAGCTAATGCCATGCTTCCTAATGATATCTCCCAAGTCCAGGGCTGCCAACTCTCACACATTCAGAGTGAGACTCATGCAATTGACCCAATTCTCACTCTCTCACACCACAATCTCACACGATTTCTCAGGCTGAAGTGTCAACCCGGTCGATCGAATGCCTGAAAGATGAGTTTATCTATATACATGTATCTACCTATTGAGCCATGATCGATAATCTATTCTAGAGCGAGCGTGTAGGATCAAGTTGTGTTTTTTTAACAAGTGGTTTAATCATAGCCAGCTTAAAAGTTTTTTGGTACGCATCCTAATGACAAAGATGAACTAATTATATTAAGAAGAAGATCTATGACATCTGGAAGCATCTCTTTCAGTAGTTTAGTTTAGTTTAGTTTAGTTGGATTTAACGAGTTTAGACAATTGTTCCTCTCCAAAACGTATTTGTTTTCTTCTAAGAGGGTTGAAAAATAAGCAGATCTAGCAGTTTTTGAGGCCTGTCTGTACGCATTTGTGCTCTCTTTTCACATAATGTGAAAAAACTCTCTTGTTTTCTCCCAGCCGCCCTCCATTTTTCTGTCTGCTCTCTTAAAGGCCATAGTGTGCTTGTACCAAAGCATTGGACTATTTAATCTTCTGTAAGTCCAAAGGAGCAGCTGTGTCTAATGTGCTGGAAAAGAGAGAGAGTCAATAGTTTGTTGCAACATCAAGTTCTTGTAAGCTATCTGGGATGCTGAGGAGATGATACTGATCAGGAAGATTATTTATAAAGCATTATTGAGTGATAGAAGTGATAGTTCTGCTATATTTGTAACTGGGAGTCAGTTTTGCAGCCTTGGCTAAATGGAGTATACACAAGACTTGATAATGATCTGAGATGTCTTCGCTCTGCTGCAGAATTTCAATGGCATCAACATTGATTATATGTAATAATAATATCAGATCTAAAGTATACCGACAATGAGGGGGTCCCAGACACTTGTTGCCTAACTCCAATAGTTTAGAGTTTAGAATGTCTCTACATGCTAATCCCAATGCATAGTTTTCATTATCTACACATGGATATTAAAATCACCAACAATTAGGACTTTATCTGCAGCCAGTACTTACCCTGATAGGAAATCATACAATTATTTGATAACCTCTGTATGGTGCCCTGGCGGCCTGTATACAGTAGCCAGAACAAATGTCTAACGGGATTTATTACTTACACTAGATAGCTAGATAGTGGCAGCACCACCCCCTTTGCCTTTCAGACCAGGCTTGTGTTTATAACAGTAATCTTGGAAAGTGGACTCATTTAAAGTAATGTAATCGTCTCGTTTTAGCCAGGTTTCTGTCAAACACAGCATTGGGTTATGATCTTCATATCATTTACAATAAGTTATTTTGAAGAAATGGATTGTGAAGAAATGGATTGTATATTTAGCAACCTGAGTTTTAGCATTTGTTCATCTGTATCTATTTTTTCTTTGTCGAACAT